AAAAACTTTCCTTCTAGGAACACAGGACAGTGCTACAGACATTTAAGTGTTCTCTAATGTCTATTAGGATTCAGTGGTACATTTTTCAGTGTACAGGCCTTACACATGTACTTTTATACATCGAAAATATTAATCTAAATTACTTATCAAGGATTTTTCGCTATATTGTGGGATTTTGCAGTCCTGTACAGTATAAGAATATTGTTAAAATTACCCAAGTTTACAAATTTAGGAAATCTAAGAACATTAGAGTGTTTTTAAAAGTGTGGGAAAGGTTTATAAGAGTGTGGGAAGGGTTTATAAAGTCTTAAAATATATACAAATAGTAAAGTAATTATAACATCACTATTTTGCTGATGTGTGCTTTTCGTGGGGGTGTCTATAACATAACCTCCCCAACAGGTGAGGGACCGCTGTAGATTATGGAGGAGACTATTAATGAAGAATAGGGAGTGCATTTCTTTTGATGCTCTTTTGTTTAGAGAAAAATGAAGACTGGTATAAATATGTCTTTTTAAAACCTGAACGCCTCTATAAGGGGACAGCAGATTCTTGCACTGAAGAAACTGTTGACAACTCAGGCACTGACAGGGAGGGCTCTGCTGCGGCCCCTGCTCTGTCTCCTGAGCCCCCAGGAGCCCGGGGCCCCTCCTCGTCCTGTATTCCAGCTACATTTCAGAAACGTAGGTGACATTTCTCACAGCTGTAGCCTCGGAAGCAGAGACTGCCACAGAGACCTCTAGCCCTTCTGCTGCCGGGAGGCTGTGGGTCACTTCAGGCTCAGCAGTGTCACCATGGTGGGCTGTGAAGGGGTCCCCGGCTCCTGGTCAGGCTTCCTCTGCGGGTGGGCGGTGTCAGCAGCTTCTTCACGCAATCCCTGCACCAATGCAGGGCCTTTAGGGGGATGCGGTACCTGAGAGGACTGGCGAGGGAGGGCCCAGGCCAAGGGAGCAGCAGAAGGGTCCCGCTGGGAGGGCCTTGACGGCCCTGCGGTGCTGAGCTTGGGGACACCCTCCCCTAGGCCCCAGAGGCCCAGCCGGCCTGCACACGGGTGCTCCTGCTGTTACCAGGTGTGAGGTCTCAGAAACTTGCACTTTTCACTGTTTGAGAAGCTCAGAGCACTTTTGTTTGTGTGGATCTTATCCAGTGGTATTTATGAGATTAGAACAGGGAAATTTTAAAATATCTTCCTAAATTTATTTTAAAATGACGATAATATATGCATTATGTATAAACATCAATAACACAATTTAGTTAAGAAAACCCTTCTATTTCCAGTACAAAATCATATGTCATGTGTGGTATTTAAAAAATTTTTATGTATATAGGTAGATAGATAGATGGATAGATGGATACATATATATGGTGTAATATATCTTTGCTGACTGCTTTAATCAGAGCCATCTGGTCTCTTCAGTTGAACTCCTTCGCTTATTTTCTCCAGCTGTACTTAAGTGTGGTTGTCCGATAAATCTTACGTCCATGTGAGCTCTGCAGTGTGGTGCTTCACTATGTCCACACACTCTGAAGTGGCCGCTCTGACCAAGCTGACCAGCCTCTCCTCGCCTCCCACATTTGCCCCTGTGTGTCGGGAGAACACTCAAGGTCCTGCTCTCTCAGCAAACAGCAAGGGCACCTTACACTGCTTGCACGCACCATGCCATCTGCGGGACCCCAGGTCTTCCGACGACGCAAGTTGGAACCCTTCAGCTGAAACTCCCTTTCCCCCTTCCTTTCAGCGCTGAGCAGCCACCTCTCCCATTGCTGTGACTTCAACATCCTTGAGATTCTGTGCACAGGCTAAGCATTTCTAGTGTCAACGTCTGAAAATTGAAATACTCTGAAAGCTGAAACCTCTCGAACATTGACATGGTGGCAGGAATGAAAAATTCTACACCATGAAACTTTGAGCACAAGATTATTAAAAACATTGCACAAAACTACCTTCAGGGTATATTCATAACACATATATGAACTGCAAATAAACTTTGTGGCTAGATTTTGGATCCCATCCCCAAGATATCTCGTTTATATATTCATATATCCTCAAAGTCTAAAAAAAACTCTCGAGACTTAAAACTCTCCTGGTTTTACACATTTCAGATAAGGGAGACTCAGTCAGTGTGAGATCTGGGCGGCGTCCGTCTGTTGACTTCTGGATTTCGCTCTATCTCCTGTCAGCCTGTTGCTCTATTATCCTTCAGAACCACCGAGAGTTTGACAACAGACCCATGAAAGAATGGGGGTGAAGTAGACAAGCAGCAACTTACTCTTGAGAACAGAATGGACCTTATACGTTTTCTCACAGGGTCTTGAGGACTCCCAGGGGTTCCTAAAGAGCCCCCTGAGCATTGGTTAGAGGCATGATTTCAAAGAGAAGTGGTGGGCCCAGCTGCGCTTCATGGAGCCCTCACCCTGCTGTGTAAAGCAGTATGGGTGCCGTCGCCTGCCCAGATAATGCTGAGGAGACGCCGCGCTGGGGTAGGCAGTGTGAAGTAGGGATTCGTAGAGTAGAGAGAGTTTTGCAGGGAAGGCTCAGCAGTCCTTGCCAGCTGTGTGGTGGGGGAGCCAGCATTTCACGCCTGGCATGGTCACAACTGAGAGGAGGGCAGCACTGAACTCAGAACATGGGAGATGCTTGCAGCTGGAATTGTGATGAGCTCGGGTCTCAGAGCCTTGGCTTGGAGTGCTGTAAGAGCCCCAGCAGGTGGCTGGGGGAGATGGAAAGGGGTCTTGCTGTTGGGAACCTTCTGGTGGCAGGTGGTTGAACTCCTGGGAATCCAAGGGTACAAGGCTGAAATGCTCTGAAGAGAAGGCTTCAGCAAACACCGGTTTCAGAGCTCTGCTTTTAGGTGCTGGCCAGCTGCTTTCTTTTGGGAAGTTTGCACACCATCACATTAGGTCACTTCAGCCCTGACCAGGAATTGCAGGTCATTTGCCTCTAATTTTTAATAGTTTTAAAAAGTCTCATCGTATTTCATCTCCATGTTGCCTGCCTTGTCCTCAGCCTGCGTCCGGAGCCCCTGCTCCCGGCCCTTCCCTCCCTCCACACTGCCACGTGCTTTCCCGTCTTGGCCAGCGTGCCTGCCGCGGTCCTGCTTCCGTCTGTCCTACTGGTCACCTCCTCATGCAGCTTCTGTACATGGCGCACACTCCAGTGTGGGCATTCAGTGGGGTGTGGCCCGTGCCGTACAGCGTCACTGACTTTGCTTTCACCTGACAGTTGATTTATGAGCGCAGGGTGTGTCTGTCATCATGAATCTGTTCAGTTTTTTCTACTTCTCTTTTAATTTTGTGCCTTTAACTTATACTTCAGGTTTTCAAGGGAAAACCTGTGTCTGCTTGAGTCCCTTATTATTATTCAAAGTAGTTGTCTAATGGATGTTTTTAAGGTTGGAGTGCGCTGCTGAGATGGGCCATTAATTAGAGTTACAGAATTCTCTTTAAAGATTTTATTAAAAATATGTATAATAGGCACACTTTCTAAAAGAATGTGTGGAGACCTCTGCCAGAGGTTTATTAAGGGGCCCGTTGTGAGGCTTCTTTATGCCTTTTGTTTCTGCGACCTGAGGTTTTAGAAGTATGAAAAGACTGCAGGTAATTATTTAGAATGGCTTATTACAGATCCCCTGAAAGCTGAAATTATGTATTAAATAATGTTCAAAGGCTTTCTTATTTTGAATGCATCAAATATTTTATTAAAACTATTAGATTGGAGCCGTGACTATGAGGATCATGTGGGGGTTTTTTGGTTAATGACTTGACAGAGATTATTGATTGGTGACTGAATTCTTTAGATGAAAGAGGAAGAGTGACTATAACCAAGAGCATGAAAATTTATCTTTCCCTTATCCTTTCTTTTTTTCTCTCCCATATGAGTTGATGGGTGGTTTTTTGTTTTTGTTTTGTGGTGCTGGGGATCGAAGCTGATAGGTGTTTTTACCTGCCAATTATTGCCAAAGTGGTAGATTTTGGGGAAAAGGTAAAACAAAATCACAGATCTATGTGTCAGAGAAATGTCACACACACACACACACACACACACACACACACACACACTGACACCCTGAAATGAGAGTGTAGCTACCTACACTATCAACACATAACTGCCATGGAGGAAGGGAATAAAACACCTTCATAAGACAAAATGGAGAGGATTTGACCTGGTTTGAGGAACCAGTTGGAAAGTTTTCTTAGGCAAGAATCCTTCAGTTGACAAGTCCAGGCTGGGTAGGAG